GCCCCGCCCCTGTCCGCCGAGTGCTCCCGCCCCTGTCCCTGGAGTGCCCCGCCCCTGTCCCCCCGTGCCCCGCCCCTCACCCCGAGTGCCCTCGCTCGCACCTCGCACCGCCAGCTCGGCCACCGTGCGGCTGCCCTCGGCAGTCTCGCAGATGTACACGGCGTCGTCGTCGGCCGAGACGTTGCGCACCGTCAGCCTGCGCTCCGTGCCCGCCTCCTCGATGCCGTACTTGGCGCTCGCCCGCAGCCGCGTCTCCTCCTTGAACCACGCGGCCTCCGTGGCCGGCAGCGGCACCTCACACTGGAAGGTGGCCGATTCCCTCTCCTGCACCTCCAGGTCCTGCAACCTCTTCTTGAAGGGCACGGCCGGCTCTGCGGGGAGAGGGCGGGTGAGCAGGGCGGGGGCTCGGGGAGGGGGCACAGGGGGCGGGGCAGCAGGGACAGGGGAGGAAGGGGAGTGGGGTGCCGGAGGACAAGGGGAGGGGGCCGCAGGGGAGGGGGGGTACCAAGGCAAGGAGAGTAGGGGGCAGGGGCGGAGCAGGGGCGGGGCAGGGGTGGGAGGGGCTGTGGGCAGGGGGCAGGAGGAAGGAGGACAGGGGAGGGGACAGAACTTAAAGGAAAGAGCCCTCTCCCCCAAATATGAGGTCTCGAAGAGAACAGGAGAAATGAGGCAAGTGGAGCGGCCCCGCTGACCACTCCCAACGCTGGTCCCGGGTGGGCGGCCTGCGCACGTGGCGAGGCAGCAGGACCAGGAGTTGCCGGCGAAATGGCTAAACTGCCTGAGCGCTGGGTGTGGGACAGGCCCTGCTGCCCTAGCATCCTCCCCAGGCAGGTTTTGCAGGGACCCCCCCCCCCCCCCCCCAGGAGCGGGGAGCCCTTTCCCGGCAAGAAGCAGGAAACTGAGGCACGCAGGCAAAGACTGAAGCGCCCTGTGCGAGATCCTACAGCAGGTAAAATGTGTAAGCAGTGGAGGTGGGACTCTGCCCACATCAGGAGGCTGCTCTTAGGAGACAAGAATAAACGGGCCTCCCCAACAAAATCTGATCGTGTTGCGCACACTTGCCCCCGAGTGCCCTGGGAGAGCCCCAGACCCGGAAAGGAGCCTGCAAGCTGGCCCAGAACCGCCTTCAGGCTGCATCCTGGAGGGCGCCCCTGCCCTCCCCCAGTCCCGAGGCCTCTGAAGGCACAAGGGTTTGTCCCGGCTCCTGCCCTCCTTCCCCCTCTCCCAGGGACCCCCTTAGCATCCTGAGGGAGGGGTGGAGGGCCCGGGTCACTCTCATTCTGGACAGGGCAGGCTCAGCCACTGGGCACCCCGACCATCTCCCAGGGGAAGGGGCCGCTGGTGACAAAGTGCTTTCTTCTTTATTCGTGTGGATCACAAAGACAGTGGGTCAGGCTGAGGGTGTCCTTGTCGCCCGCATTTTGCGGACCCGGAAAGGCGAGAGCCGCCAAGACCTTCTACTCTGCCTTCCCCTACCGGCGACACAGGGCGCTAGCGCTGGGGAGGAGCCTCCGCCCGCACACCCTGCAGCGAGTGCGCGCCGGCCCATGCGCCCTGAGCTCACCTCGCACGACGACCAGCACGGAGCTGTAGGTCTGGCCCACGAGGTTGGACGCCGTGCAGGTGTAGAGACCGCGGTCCGACTGCTTGCAGAAGAGGATCTTGAGCACGAAGTTCTCCTGCGCGTCCTCGTACACCACGTGTCGCCGGCCCTCGGCCACCAGCTGCCCATCCTTCTTCCACACGGTCTCGGGCTTGGGCTCGCCTGTCACGTAGCAGCTGAGGCGCGCGTGCTTACCCTCAGTCACAGTGCAGGTGCGCGTGCCAGCGCCAGGCGGTGAGGCTGGGGCGCCCTCGGCGCGCATGGCCT